TAAAACAATTAGGCTTCAAAGGCACACCATCTTCAATTTTGTTTCTTATACATGAAGGAAGCGCCTTGGTTGTCGATCACGTAATCAGCGTACATGTGACAGAATCGTCGGAGGATTGTGAATTAAAGTGTTATTTAGAGGATGATTGTATGTCGATCAACATCGAACCAAAAGGCGATGGAACATATTACTATGAATTGAGTGACTCAGACTATGTTTTACATCCTCGAGATCTCGAAAATCGGAAAAACGTTATCAACAGATCAGTGCAGGTGAGAATTTCTCGATTCAACTAACGGATCAATTTATCTATCAATCTTATTACGTAAAGGGATGCATTCAGATTAGTTTTAGAACTCTTTCGTTTCCGAAGGCCTGTAAGGATTAAATAAAAAACTAGAAAAATGAATGAACAATCCTCACTCGAGAATTAACTCATAGAACAGACATGAGTTGTGGTTATTATTTGTTTACAGTATTTTATCATTAATACTATACATGGAAAAATCAATCAGTTCTGATTGGTTAAGATAAATGCAGTTTTCAGGTAATTCAGTGCAGAAGAGAGTTAATTCAATGTAGAAGAGAGTTAATTCAATGTAGAAGAGGGTTAATTTAGTGCAAAGAAAGTAACAAATCGGACATTCTGATTGGACAATAATCAAAGAAATTCACAAATAGCCAATCAAATGTGAGCCTTGGATGTCGGCGTTTTAAGTAGGTTTTCTTTCGCCACCGCAGCTGAAAAACAGCTCAAACAACGAAAACGCTGTAAAAAGCACTGCTATTTGGTTGTCAGTTTGGAAAAAGTGGTGTTCAGAGAAGAGAATTGCTAAGGAAATCGAAAATTACGAGCCGACCCAGCTTAACGAAATTAAAAACAAACATGGTTAAACCTAGGAAACGAAGATTCCATTTTATCGAAAGTGATCCGGACACAGACTGAACAATTCCTTGAACTGTTTAGCCGGACTTTTTTGCGCCTTAAAGTTGTAAAGATATTATTGCATCTTATTGTTTTGATCGTACGCGGTTGTTTTGACCGAACGCACGGTTTGAATAAATAATTTCTGCATGCACTTGATGCGCGCGCTTTGCTTATGCTTAAATATGATGAGCTATCTCTTATTTTTCCATGTATGTTATTAACACGCTTGTTAATTTTTTCAAAGACCACAAATTGCACTCGCCCTACGGGCTTGTGTAATTTGTTAAAATTTGTCTTTAAAAAAACTTACTCGTGCTTATTTATTCCAAATTGCACTTGAAATCATGTGATTACCTCTACGAACAATCGAACAATCTGCACGCGCGATCGAGGCATCGGCATTGCATCACTGAGAGAACATAGATACCAATGGTCTTTAAACAAGCAATGGCCATTCTCAACCTCTTAGTGAGATTGTCGCTCGTGTGGGTTCAGTTGACTTTCTGACACAGAGACCTTCGATATGATAAGACTACCCCCTCTGTATAGAATGACGGTCATTTTAGCCTCCTAACTGTAAACAAGCATGTGGTATAAAAAAAGCCCCTACATAACCTACTCTGGTCCGCCACAACGGCAACGTTTTCTTCCGAGGGGCACATAACGTTGCTAATATTGGGATTTCAGTCAACTGAAACTTGAAGGAAATGTAGCTTATGGGTGCTAAAAGCATAATGTAATTCTTGAATTGTCTAATTTTTTGATTGGAGGGTTGAACATGTCACGAGCCGTGAATCAAAATTCACCAACTTTCAAGGGTAAACAAAATTCACTAGCCCCTAGGGAAACAACGACTTGACTTTCGACTCTCACATGATAAGGTCGTTCACCGTGAAGCCGCAACAGCCTGCGTACAAAAAAATAATTTTTCTGCAGTCATTTCGGTGTTGACATGTATGAGAAAATACTAAACGGGAAACAGTGAGGACTGCTTTCTCTTGCCCCGCAAAACTCATTTTTTCCCTAGGAGTCAGTCATTAGTCACTTATTTTACCGACTTTGCCAGATGTCTGTACTAGAATTGTCTAGAAGCGAAGGTAACGATATTAGCAGGGTAGCTAGAGTGCAAAAGATGAGGAAATAATTAGAGCATCGAAGAAATAGATATTTCTTGGTATATTGGCTTCGGCATCAGATTTTTGATCCGTGCACGGGTCCGAAATAGAAACACATAACTACATGTATGGTACGGCAGATATATCTACAAATTGTGACTCATAAATGTAGGAGTTAGAACCTGAAATCATCTCTCTCTGTTGCATCCTATTACATCCTGCAGCTGTTTTTCATTGGGCGAATTTAGCTTTGTTTGGTGGGGAAAAATTGTTATGGATCCCAAATGCGACTAATTGATACTCATAAAGGGTGCAAGACAAAAGAAGTCCGGATATTAAAAAGAATCCGAAGAATCGAGGTTTTTCTCAATTAAAGTCAAACGCCCCCACGTTTTACTCGAATGGAAACAAAACTCATTGTTTCCCTTGGAGTCAGACATTAGTCAATTATTTTATCGACCTTGCCAGGAGTCTGTGTCAGAATTGTCTGAAAGCGAAAGTAAACAATATTAACAGGGTAGCTAGAGTGCAAAAGATGAGAAATTAATTAGAGCATCTAAAGAAATAAATGTTTCTTAGTATATTGGCTTCGGTTATCAGATTTAACGTGCACGGAATGGTATGGCAGATATACCTACAAATTGTGACTTATAAATGTACGAGTCAGAACGTAGGAAGAAGTTCTGTCAATTTTCATTTCTGAAAAAACTTTTTAAGTTGAAATTTCACCCTGGAGCTCTTTTCCATTAGGCGGATTTAGCTTTGTTTGGTGGGAAAAAGTTGTTATGGATTCCAAATGCGACTTATTGATACTCATAAAGGGTGCAGGACAAAACAAGTTCGGATAATAAAAAGAATCCGAATAATCGCGGTTTTTCTCCATTAAAGTCAAACGCCCCCACGTTTTACTCGAATGTAAAGAATCGGTAAATCGAGTCGTGATCAGTACTTCGTGCAAAACTAACCAATGCATAATTTATGTATGGGTTTTCAAGCTGTTTCTATTCATTTCTATAATTTTCATTGTTACCCAAGGTTCATTAAAATTGTATGAAAAGTTGATAAAAGAGTTTTTCAATACAAAAATACAAGAGGAGTGGAAAGAAACTGAAGGTAAGAATATACTGGTTTCAAGGAGTAACCAAGTCATTCAATTTGGAGAAGATTGGTTAATTTAAACTTCATGAGAAAATTGCTCTCTAACTTTGACAACAACAAAAATCTTGAATAGTCAGCCGCTTCGATAAATACGTTTGAGTGAGAAGTATATATACAAAAGACCTTTACTACCGCGTAAACGTGAGAAGGAAAGTCCAGGAAAAGTAAGAAAAGAAAGGTGAGTGTGGTGAGAAACTCGATGTATTTACTTACTATCGGGTGAGTAACTTGTGCAAGCCAGTGGACAAGTTTTAGTCCTTAGCAGGAAAGATTCCTTTATATGACTTGGGAGTTTAAAAAGCGCTCGTATTCTTTCGCTGAGTCAGACAAAGTGTAATTAACAAAACCCTAAATTCACATTCAAAACTATTTGTTGCATCTGAGAAGGGAGAAGAGCAACATTTGTCATCTGTTTTTCTTTCTTTCTCAAATTACAGGATGAGAGGGCTTCTAGTTGGTTTCCATTTCTGTCCCGTTCTGTTAAGTGGTGTTGCTTTGTTTCTTGTGGCTTTCAGTTCGTCTTTACACACTGACTTGAGCAGGGACGAGGTTTTCGAGAGAGTTGAAGGTAACACATGAATGTCTTATACCTCCTAACACAGTGATATTTTTTTCCGATGGGATGTGAATGTTTCAAGTGCTAAGGGCGAAAACTCGGATCGGATGACACAGATTTTGGCTGGGTCACGATAAACTTTACATGATCCCCCCCCCCCCAAATAAGGCTCTGTTACATTCTTACAATCCCCCTCATTGGTAGTAAATCTCCATTCTTCCCCCTTTATACTCTGGCCACAACAGTTCGCCCCCCAAAAAAATATGAGATCGCCCCAAAATCGGGTAAAAACAACAGGAACTTTCTACGCGCAACTCTTATAACTCTCAAGGCTTCTTCATATTCGCCTTTGAACGATATCAAGAATCAAGATGACCTCATAAGACAGGGTAATTAACTACACACAAACTGTGTTATTAAAGTATCCAAAAAAAAATTGAGTGATGAGAACATGAAACACGATTGTGTTGTTTTTCAAGGATTTGAGCTAATTGGTCACATCACTAAGACATTATATGCTGACGAAATAAGCTGTGGATTGAGATGCCTTCAAGATGAAAAATGCCAATCTTACAACAGCAAGTCCGATGCTAATGATGCAAAGAAGGAATGTCAACTGAGTAATCAAACCAAAAAATCAAGTCCGGAAAACTTGAGGCGTAACCCACGTTCTACTTATTATCATAGAAGAGGTACTGTTGAGTAAAGTGCTTAACATTATGGAAAAGTTAGTGGAGGTGGGAGGGGGGTATGAAGGGTCGGAGTATTTTGGTTGTCACAATAAAGTTTTCCTGATCCTTCCATAACGTTCCGAATTATTCTATCGATCTTCCTCATTGGCCGTCAATTTTCTTTAGTCCCACCTTTAAACTCTGTTAGCGACCACTGATCCCCTCTCCATTCCCTTTGAAAACAATGATATCCCCCTCCCCCAAGAACCTGCCACCACTCCCACCCCCTCTTTCCAAGTCAAAAATGGTGACCTATTTCTTACTTCTTATTAGCGCTTTTCAGAGCTCTCTCGTGTCACGTGTACATCCATGTGTAATCTTTTCCGAGAGAATATGATGTTTAAAATCTCTTGCTTTTCCTTATAATGATAGGTTTTCCATCTGATTTTCTTAGTTTAAATTTAAATTTCCAAAATCAAGAGCTATCTAATAATTACGCGAAAGGAACTACTTATGGAATAAGACCTCTGTGGCGTGTTTTGTCTCTTAGTTTGATCCTCTCCTCGTTCCAAATGATTATTCTTCCCTCTTCCGATGCAGATAAACGAGGTTGGGATTCTGCTCATCCGGCTTTCTCCTGTAAAGAAATTCTGGACTCTGGACACTCCAAAGGTAAACGAGGTTGGGATTCTGCTCATCCGGCCTTTTCCTGTAAAGAAATTCTGGACTCTGGACACTCCAAAGGAGACGGGGAGTATTGGATCGACCCAGAGAAGAGTGGAAACCCTTTGAAGGTCTCTTGTGACATGTCAAGATCTGGTGGTAAGAAAATGAATTGTTTTTTTGTGACACGAGGACCTCAACAGGAGTATATCTGACTTGGTAGAGTTGTTATTGGAACGTTCTGGTCTTAGCTATTCTTGCTTTCTTTACCAAGATCCTTATTATGTTTTGAATCAAAACTACAGCAGCATTCTCGAAAGTGATTGGTTATCATCAGCCGGCCGATTTGAACACTAATAGGACAGTGTACGTGTCATATTTGTAAATGAACAGTGTAATAGGACCGTTAAAGGGACAGTTAACGCGTCATGCCTGTATGAGGGGACAGAACGCGTCATGTGCGCGCGCTGTTGTCTCGCATTTCGACGAGTAAACTGTTGTTTTTGGTTTTTCCGAAAACTTATAACCAATGTCTAGTTTCTTTCCCAAATTTTGTCATAGTTTTGATTAATTGGTAACAGGCCTTCTTGTTGTCCAATTCTGTCTGAAATCATACTCGTGATTAACAAATCGGACTCCCGCTTTGCGGTCGTACGATTCTGTAAATCACTCGTATGATTACAGACCCAATTGGACTCCACTCGGTCCTGTTACTATTTAATATGTCCAAAGTTCTAGTTACATGGATGTCACCAGATCATCTGGGTTTGTTTTATTTTAGGAGGTTGGCTTCTGGTGTCAAATGTTGAGTTCGGAAGTCCCTCTCCTAAGGTGTCAATTAAGACATCATACCGTGGAATAGGTAAGTCACACATGGTTCTGCAGAAAAGTGCCATGAAAGAGCTCAGAAGACACTTGTCCTTCACTCAGCTGAGATTCCACTGCCGCAAGAAACAGGGACGCACATTCCACGTGGTCACAGCTTCCAACAGCTCAGGCGAAGCTGTGGTCCGGTACTTTAGCGGTCAGACAGATGAGCAACCGGACGCCTGTGGTTCGTTTGTGAGATTGAGTTGGATGACAATTCCCAGTTAGCTGGCATTTGCAAAGATTGGGGTAAACTGAAAAGTGGAAAGGTCCGGGTTGGAAAGTGGGGACATGGTGAAGATCAAAACAGGCTATACTGGTATCCCGTCATGAGAAAAAACAAGTATCAACTTAGGGTCCAATTGCATGACGTTGGCGACCTCAGAAAAATGGAATGTGATGATGACCTCCGTAACACTAACGACACAAACGGCGATTTCTGGAGAGTCTTTGTTCGTTAGTTTCGTCTATATGTACATCAAGCAACCCTTGACTGTGCGAATAACAGTAACAAACGAATAAAGCAAAATAAAGACAAATGCACCGTTACAATCATCAGGTTATAAGATTGTTTTTGTTTCCATTTCGGGGCAAGGGAAAGCAATCCTCACTGTGTCCCGTTGGGCCATTTATTTTAATTTTTATTTTTGAAAATATTTTCTCATACATCCCAAACCGAATATGACTGCAAAAATCACTTTTTGTACGTGGCTGGCACACACTTTTGCCGCGGTTTCACGGTGAACAACCTTATCGCGCGAGAGTCGAAAGTTAAAGTTGTTGTCTCCTCGGGGGCTTAGAGAATTTTGTTCACCCTAGAAAGTTAGTGTATTTTGATTCACGGCGCGTGACATATTCAACCGTCCAATCAAAAAACCTATTTGAGTTGAGAGATACATAACGATTAAATTTTCACAACTGCTTAAATAAAAGGTTTAACTAGTGACCATGTCAACCTCAACGTTAAGTTGAAGGACTCTAAACATGATTGGCTAGTTGATCGGATCGCGAGCGTCGCACGTGAATACTAAAAATTCCAGAGGAAGGGGAAAGAATACTTTGCAGTTCGAAAAAAAATCACTACTGACACAAGAAAATTTCAACGACCTGTTTGATATGGTGGGAAGCCTTTGAGAAAAACCATGCTTAGCACAAGAGGTCGAGGGTAGCTGGGAAATCTCCCGGACAATAAAAAAGTAATCATACAGATTTTGACCTTCAACCCCTCGGGGACTGGGGAAGGGTTTTTTCCACTTTTTAGACATGACACATGTTTGTTGTATTTAACTAATTGTCGAGAGAGGATTGTCCGCTCATTTTTGTTGTTTTTAATTTAATCCTTACCGGCTTTACGCCTAATCATGGGAAGAATTCTCCATTTGACTACCTCAAGATAAAATAAGAATCTGAAATAAAAGGAATGACAAAAATTCAGATAAAATGCATCATTTTACGCGACAGCACACTTACAGTCTAGACATTCAGAACTATCGCTAGGAAACGTGATTAAGTGATTCATTGCTTTAAGCCGGCCAAACTGCAACTAGAGGGCGCTTAAAAACTATAAAAACTATAGGATTGTGACGTAAGACCCCACATAGACTGTTCCATTTCAAGCTTGACTTATCCATTTCACTTTTGTATTTTTGGCGGTTACGGCGTAAACCAACTGCTGTAACACTAAACCATTTCGGTTTCGGTTTGTACTAAACCTTTTGTCGTCACGCTAAACCATTTCACTTTCCTTTGAGTAGGTTGATGCGTTACTAAGCCATTACGGCCTACTATCAACCATTTGCCGATAGCTTTAGCTATTTCACACTACTCTCGGTTGTGTCAAGTCACTGAACCAAAGTACAGCTAGCTGAACCGTTTATCATTTCGACGCTGAGTTGAGTAACTTTTGCAAGCCAGCGGACAAGTTTTAATCCTTAGCAGGGAAGGTTCCTTCATAATAGACGCTTACAGGACATAGCAATACTAATGTATAAAGTAAAGAACGATCTAGTACCCAGCTACATATCTGAGATATTTACTCGAAAGGGTACTCGTTATAACCTTAGGAATATTGACTTTGAAATACCACGATTTAACACTATACGCTATGGTAAACACACACTTAGGTATCAAGGACCATATATCTGGTCCAAATTAGAAAATGGTATGCGTGAACTACCAAGCCTTAGCATCTTTAAAACTAGAATCCGTAGAGTTGACCTGGTCAGCCTAGTGGAAGACAGTGGCAACTGCTGCAATCTTTGCAGCACGTGATTTTTTTTAATTATCTGCATGGTACAAGTATTTTTATGTTGTCTGAACATTGTTAATATTTCTAAATATTTTTAAATTTTAATGCATAGTTTATCGGCTATATTGTTACTTATTATGATACTGTACATAGTTTTTTATTAATTTAGTAATAGTAGGTGTCGCCAATTAGCTCTATGAGCTAAATACATTGACACGGTAATAAAGATTTTATTATTATTATTATAATTATTATTATGAGCTGGTAGTTTAAAAAGCCCTCGGTATTCTTTCGCCGAGTCAGACAAAGTGTAATTAAAACCCTAAATTCGCAGTCAAAACTATTTGTTGCATCAAAAAAGGGAAAGCACGACATTTGTCATCTGTTTTTCTTTCTTTCTCAAATTACAGGATGAGAGGGCTTCTAGTTGGTTTCCATTTCTGTCCCATTCTGTTGAGTGGTGTTGCTGCATTTCTAGTGGCTTTCAGTTCGTCGGCCCGCGCTAACTTGAGCAGGGACGAGGTTTTCGAGAGAGTTGAAGGTAACACGTGAATGTGTTATGCCTCTGTTATAACACCGTGATATTTTTTTCCGACGGGATATGAACGCGTCAATTGCCATGGGCGAAAACTCGCCAAATCAATATAATATAACTTACTGATAACGATAAACTTTACATGATCCCTCCCCCCATAAGGCTCTGTAACAATCTTACGATCCCCCTCTTTGGCAGTCAATTTTCTACACTTCCGGTCTCTCTTTATACTCTGTTGGCCACAACAAATCCTCCTAAAAAAAACATGGGGATTGCCCCAAAATCGGGTAAAAACAACGGAAACTGTCTACGCACAACTCTCATAACTCTTAGGCCTTCTTCATATTCACCTGTGCGCGATATCAAGAATCAAGATGACTTCTTAAGACAGGGTGAACAACTACACACATACTGTATTATGAAAGTATCCAAAGTAAACTGTATGATAATAAAATGAAACACGATTGTGTTGTTTTTCTAGGATTTGAGCTAATTGGTCATATCACCAAGACATTATATACGCTGACGAAATGACCTGTGGATTGAGATGCCTTCAAGATGAAAACTGCCAATCTTACAACAGCAAATCCGATGTTAGTGATGCAAAGAAGGAATGTCAACTGAGTAACTTAACTAAAAAATCAAGTCCGGAAAACTTGAGGCGTAACCCACGTTCTACTTAATATGGAAGAGGTACTGTTGAGTAAGGTGCTTAACCTTAGGAACAAGTCATATTTTTATCGCCTGGGTAGAAGGGGAGAAGAGGGTGAAGGAAAGGTCACAGCATTTTGGTTGTCACAATAAATCGAGTCAGTCAATTTTCAAATCAATTTTCAATTTAGGTCCAACCTTTAAGGTCTATCGGCGACGACTGATCCCCTTTCCGTTCCCTTTGAAAACCAGGATACCCCCCACCCCCGGTAAGACCCTCCTACCCCTCCCACCCCCTTTTTCTGAGCGAAAAATGGTGACCTATTCCATACTTCTTCTCAGCGCTTTTCAGAGAATATAAAGTTTATGATCTCTTGCCTTTCCTTATAACTTTTCCATTCTCTTAAATTGAGATTGAAGGATGCTATGGATCCTACAAATATTTCCAAAATCAAAAGCTATCTAATGATCACGCGAAAGGAACTACATTTGGAATAAGACCTATGAGGGCTGTTTTGTTTCTAAGTTTGATCCTCTTCTCGTTCCAAATGATTATTCTTCCCTCTTCCGATTTAGAAAAACGAGGCTGGGATTCTGCTCATCCGGCCTTCTCCTGTAAGGAAATTCTGGACTCTGGACACTCCAAAGGAGACGGAGAGTATTGGATCGACCCAGAGAAGAGTGGAAACCCTTTGAGGGTCTATTGTGACTTGTCAAGATATGGTGGTAAGTGAATAAGTCTTTTTTCAGAGACATCAGGACTTAAACAGGAGTATATTTGACTTGGAGCACTTTCTATTGGAACATTCTGGTCTTGGCTATTCGTGCTTTTTCTACAAAGATCCTTGTTATGTTTTTTAATCGAAACTGTAACAAAATTCTCCAACGCGATTGGTTATCACCAGCCGGCCGATTTGAGCACAACAAGACAGTATACGCGTCATACTTGTAATTGGACAGTGTAATAGGTCAGTTAAAGGGACAGTTAACACGTCATGCCTGTATGAGGGGACAGAACGCGTCATGTGCGCGCGCTGTTGTCTCGCATTTCGCTGAGTAAACTGTTGTTATTGGTTTTTTTTCTGAAAACGTATAACCAATGTCTAGTTTCTTTCCCAAATTTTGTCATAGTTTTGATTAATTGGTAACAGGCCTTCTTGTTGTCCAATTCTGTCTGAAATCATACTCGTGATTAATAAATCGGACTCCCGCTTTGCGGTCCTACGATTTTGTTAATCACTCGTATGGTTACAGTCCAAATTAGACTCCACTCGGCCCTGTTACCATTATTAATATGTCCAAAATATTATTATGAATAAGATGCCAGTAGTCTCAGTTATTGGTGCAAATCACCAGCTCAGTGCTCAGATTGTCCAATAATCAAGAGATTTTCTTGTAGCTGTCATTGTGTTATTAAGGGTGGCAAACAAAGTTTGTCTTTTTTCGTTGTTGCTCGATTGAAGTATGTTGTATAATACTTTCTTCACAGCTTGAAGGAGGATGTGAGTTAGCCATGATGTGTGATATCATTTATGCTAGAAACAAAGCTAAGTTTGATCAACCAGAGATTTTGCTTGGAACTATTCCAGGTATGGCACACATAAATTACCCACAGAAACAACTTTATCAGTTTGCACAATAAGAAAATATAATATATTCCACTGACCTTGATTAAAATATCAGAGAGCAGAAATAAGCTACAGGATAGCAGATGAAGAAAATGAAAATGATGTATTCTCCTTTCCAAGATTTTATTTTATACTTCTTAAGAGTATTAGTCATTAGCCCCTTACA